AGTAGTGATGGTACAGTGAACTAGAGTGGCAGCACAACACCACAGTAGTGATGGTGATGGTACAGTGAACTAGAGTGGCAGCACAACACCACAGTAGTGATGGTGATGGTACAGTGAACTAGAGTGGCAGCACAACACCACAGTAGTGATGGTGATGGTACAGTGAACTAGAGTGGCAGCACAACACCACAGTAGTGATGGTACAGTGAACTAGAGTGGCAGCACAACACCACAGTAGTGATGGTACAGTGAACTAGAGTGGCAGCACAACACCACAGTAGTGATGGTACAGTGAACTAGAGTGGCAGCACAACACCACAGTAGTGATGGTGATGGTACAGTGAACTAGAGTGGCAGCACAACACCACAGTAGTGATGGTACAGTGAAATAGAGTGGCAGCACAACACCACAGTAGTGATGGTGATGGTACAGTGAACTAGAGTGGCAGCACAACACCACAGTAGTGATGGTGATGGTACAGTGAACTAGAGTGGCAGCACAACACCACAGTAGTGATGGTACAGTGAAATAGAGTGGCAGCACAACACCACAGTAGTGATGGTGGTGGTACAGTGAACTAGAGTGGCAGCACAACACCACAGTAGTGACGGTACAGTGAAATAGAGTGGCAGCACAACACCACAGTAGTGATGGTGATGGTACAGTGAACTAGAGTGGCAGCACAACACCACAGTAGTGATGGTGATGGTACAGTGAACTAGAGTGGCAGCACAACACCACAGTAGTGATGGTACAGTGAAATAGAGTGGCAGCACAACACCACAGTAGTGATGGTACAGTGAACTAGAGTGGCAGCACAACACCACAGTAGTGATGGTGATGGTACAGTGAACTAGAGTGGCAGCACAACACCACAGTAGTGATGGTGGTGGTACAGTGAACTAGAGTGGCAGCACAACACCACAGTAGTGATGGTACAGTGAACTAGAGTGGCAGCACAACACCACAGTAGTGATGGTGGTGGTACAGTGAACTAGAGTGGCAGCACAACACCACAGTAGTGATGGTGGTGGTACAGTGAACTAGAGTGGCAGCACAACACCACAGTAGTGATGGTGGTGGTACAGTGAACTAGAGTGGCAGCACAACACCACAATAGTGATGGTGATGGTACAGTGAACTAGAGTGGCAGCACAACACCACAGTAGTGATGGTACAGTGAACTAGAGTGGCAGCACAACACCACAGTAGTGATGGTGATGGTACAGTGAACTAGAGTGGCAGCACAACACCACAGTAGTGATGGTGGTGGTACAGTGAACTAGAGTGGCAGCACAACACCACAGTAGTGATGGTACAGTGAACTAGAGTGGCAGCACAACACCACAGTAGTGATGGTGATGGTACAGTGAACTAGAGTGGCAGCACAACACCACAGTAGTGATGGTGATGGTACAGTGAACTAGAGTGGCAGCACAACACCACAGTAGTGATGGTGATGGTACAGTGAACTAGAGTGGCAGCACACACCACAGTAGTGATGGTACAGTGAACTAGAGTGGCAGCACAACACCACAGTAGTGATGGTGATGGTACAGTGAACTAGAGTGGCAGCACAACACCACAGTAGTGATGGTGGTGGTACAGTGAACTAGAGTGGCAGCACAACACCACAGTAGTGATGGTGGTGGTACAGTGAACTAGAGTGGCAGCACAACACCACAGTAGTGATGGTGATGGTACAGTGAACTAGAGTGGCAGCACAACACCACAGTAGTGATGGTACAGTGAACTAGAGTGGCAGCACAACACCACAGTAGTGATGGTGATGGTACAGTGAACTAGAGTGGCAGCACAACACCACAGTAGTGATGGTACAGTGAACTAGAGTGGCAGCACAACACCACAGTAGTGATGGTGGTGGTACAGTGAACTAGAGTGGCAGCACAACACCACAGTAGTGATGGTGGTGGTACAGTGAACTAGAAAGGCAGCACAACACCACAATAGTGATGGTGATGGTACAGTGAACTAGAGTGGCAGCACATCACCACAGTAGTGATGGTACAGTGAACTAGAGTGGCAGCACAACACCACAGTAGTGATGGTGATGGTACAGTGAACTAGAGTGGCAGCACAACACCACAGTAGTGATGGTGATGGTACAGTGAACTAGAGTGGCAGCACAACACCACAGTAGTGATGGTGATGGTACAGTGAACTAGAGTGGCAGCACAACACCACAGTAGTGATGGTACAGTGAACTAGAGTGGCAGCACAACACCACAGTAGTGATGGTACAGTGAACTAGAGTGGCAGCACAACACCACAGTAGTGATGGTACAGTGAACTAGAGTGGCAGCACAACACCACAGTAGTGATGGTGATGGTACAGTGAACTAGAGTGACAGCACAACACCACAGTAGTGACGGTACAGTGAAATAGAGTGGCAGCACAACACCACAGTAGTGATGGTGATGGTACAGTGAACTAGAGTGGCAGCACAACACCACAGTAGTGATGGTGATGGTACAGTGAACTAGAGTGGCAGCACAGCACCACAGTAGTGATGGTACAGTGAAATAGAGTGGCAGCACAACACCACAGTAGTGATGGTGGTGGTACAGTGAACTAGAGTGACAGCACAACACCACAGTAGTGACGGTACAGTGAAATAGAGTGGCAGCACAACACCACAGTAGTGATGGTGATGGTACAGTGAACTAGAGTGGCAGCACAACACCACAGTAGTGATGGTGATGGTACAGTGAACTAGAGTGGCAGCACAGCACCACAGTAGTGATGGTACAGTGAAATAGAGTGGCAGCACAACACCACAGTAGTGATTGTACAGTGAACTAGAGTGGCAGCACAACACCACAGTAGTGATGGTGATGGTACAGTGAACTAGAGTGGCAGCACAGCACCACAGTAGTGATGGTACAGTGAAATAGAGTGGCAGCACAACACCACAGTAGTGATGGTGATGGTACAGTGAACTAGAGTGGCAGCACAACACCACAGTAGTGATGGTACAGTGAAATAGTGGCAGCACAACACCACGGTAGTGATGGTGATGGTACAGTGAACTAGAGTGGCAGCACAACACCACAGTAGTGATGGTACAGTGAACTTGAGTGGCAGCACATCACCACAGTAGTGATGGTGGTGGTACAGTGAACTAGAGTGGCAGCACAACACCACAGTAGTGATGGTACAGTGAACTAGAGTGGCAGCACATCACCACAGTAGTGATGGTACAGTGAACTAGAGTGGCAGCACAACACCACAGTAGTGATGGTGATGGTACAGTGAACTAGAGTGGCAGCACAACACAACAGTAGTGATGGTACAGTGAACTAGAGTGGCAGCACAATACCACAGTAGTGATAGTGATGGTACAGTGAACTAGTGGCAGCACAACACCACATTAGTGATGGTGGTGGTATAGTGAACTAGAGTGGCAGCACAACACCACAGTAGTGATGGTACAGTGAACTAGAGTGGCAGCACAACACCACAGTAGTGATGGTGGTGGTACAGTGAACTAGAGTGGCAGCACAACACCACAGTAGTGATGGTGGTGGTACAGTGAACTAGAGTGGCAGCACAACACCACAGTAGTGATGGTGGTGGTACAGTGAACTAGAGTGACAGCACAACGCCACAATAGTGATGGTGGTGGTACAGTGAACTATAAAGGCAGCACAACACCACAATAGTGATGGTGATGGTACAGTGAACTAGAGTGGCAGCACATCACCACAGAAGTGATGGTACAGTGAACTAGAGTGGCAGCACAACACCACAGTAGTGATGGTGATGGTACAGTGAACTAGAGTGGCAGCACAACACCACAGTAGTGATGGTGGTGGTACAGTGAACTAGAGTGGCAGCACAACACCACAGTAGTGATGGTGGTGGTACAGTGAACTAGAGTGGCAGCACATCACCACAGTAGTGATGGTACAGTGAACTAGAGTGGCAGCACAATACCACAGTAGTGATGGTGATGGTACAGTGAACTAGAGTGGCAGCACAACACCACAGTAGTGATGGTGATGGTACAGTGAACCAGAGTGGCAGCACAACACCACAGTAGTGATGGTGATGGTACAGTGAACTAGAGTAGCAGCACACCATAGTAGTGATGGTACAGTGAACCAGAGTGGCAGCACAACACCACAGTAGTGATGGTGGTGGTACAGTGAACTAGAGTGGCAGCACAACACCACAGTAGTGATGGTACAGTGAACTAGAGTGGCAGCATAACACCACAGTAGTGATGGTGATGGTACAGTGAACTAGAGTGGCAGCACAACACCACAGTAGTGATGGTACAGTGAACTAGAGTGGCAGCATAACACCACAGTAGTGATGGTACAGTGAACTAGAGTGGCAGCACAACACCACAGTAGTGATGGTGGTGGTACAGTGAACTAGAGTGGCAGCACAACACCACAGTAGTGATGGTTATCTTCTTGAGGTTATCTTGAGATGATTTCGGGGCTTTAGTGTCCCCGCGGCCCGGTCCTCGACCAGGCCTCCACCCCCAGGAAGCAGCCCGTGACAGCTGACTAACACCCAGGTACCTATTTTACTGCTAGGTAACAGGGGCATAGGGTGAAAAACTCTGCCCATTATTTCTCGCCGGCGCCTGGGATCGAACCCAGGACCACAGGATCACAAGTCCAGCGTGCTGTCCACTCGGCCGACCGGCTCCCTACTACTTCAGTGTAATTAATTTGTGACTTGGACAATTATGAATGTATAAACAATTAAAAATATAAATGTTCACCTCTATTATTAATAAGTTGTACTGTGATAAATTGTAGGTAAAAATCTTAATAATCAAGTCAATTTTATTGATACAAGACATTACCCTTTCTCAATAAAATAATTTATCATTCCTTTATAATAACTAAACCAATATGATTTTTTCCTTCATGCATCTCAAGCACTAAAGAAAAGAATGGGTTACTGAAACCGAGTATTCAAAGCCACATCTAATTACACAAGGGCTGGCATACTACTGCAGATAAGCAAAATAATTATTTATTACTCGGGCAAAGTCTGTGACAATGTTAACATTACTCAGTTGTTGCATCTGTAACCCCAGCAATTTCCAGTTCCATAAGTACAGTGTCCAGGTAGAATTCATCTGGGTAGCCATGACCACTGATATTAGAGGAGGGCTCTGTTTTATGGTGAATGTCATTCCAAACTATCACATCCCTCAACCCAGAGGTGGCCGATGTACCCACTGTGAAGATCAAGCGCCGTTTCCATGCCTCTTGTAACAGTTTCAGTACCTTATTTCCCTTAGTATTGTCAGGAAGAAATGCAACCCGTGGAAAAGCATGTGCTCTGTACGGTTCTCCAGGATTAGGATGCTCTGGTCCTTGAATACCATCTTTAAAGCTATACTTTATAATAATTGTACCACAGTCAGGATGTCCTGGAAGCTTGTAGGGTGCCCACTCAACTTTCATAGAGCCTTGGGGTTGGTTGCCTTGTCTAATTCCATATATGGCTTTGCAGTAAGGACACTGCAAAAACTTTGGTGAAGCTTTAACCATCTCCTTCACACACACGAAATGAGAGATGTGTTTACAGCGGACTAACTGCACAGTCAGGATCATCACAGCATCAGCACAGCACAGCACAGCACAGCACAGTCACAGCATCTGGAGCGAAGGAACTTTGTAACACAGCATCAACATGGGTTCAGGGATGGCAGGTCCTGCCTCACAGGGTTACTTGAATTCTACGACCAGGCAACAAAAATAAGGCAAGAAAGAGAAGGGTGGGCAGACTGCATATTTTTGGATTGTCAGAAAGCCTTTGATACAGTGCCACACAAGAGGCTAGTGCGAAAGTTGGAGATGCAGGCTGGAGTGAGAGGGAAGGTACTCCGGTGGATAGAGGAATACCTAAGCAACAGGAGACAACGAGTCTGTGTGAGGGGTGAAGTCTCAGATTGGCGAGACGTCACAAGTGGAGTCCCGCAGGGGTCAGTCCTCGGACCTATACTGTTTCTGGTATATGTAAATGATCTCCCAGAGGGTATAGATTCGTTCCTCTCAATGTTTGCCGACGATGCAAAAATTATGAGGAGGATTGAAACAGAGGATGATAGTAGGAGGCTACAAGATGACCTGGATAGACTGAGTGAATGGTCCAACAAATGGCTGTTGAAGTTCAACCCGAGTAAATGCAAAGTAATGAAACTAGGCAGTGGAAACAGGAGGCCAGGCACAGGATACAGAATAGGAGATGAAGTACTTAATGAAACAGACAGAGAGAAAGATCTAGGAGTTGATATCACACCAAACCTGTCTCCTGAAGCCCACATAAAGAGAATAACGTCTGCGGCATATGCGAGGCTGGCTAACATCAGAACGGCGTTCAGGAACCTGTGTAAGGAATCATTCAGAATCTTGTACACCACATATGTAAGACCAATCCTGGAGTATGCGGCCCCAGCATGGAGCCCGTACCTTGTCAAGCACAAGACGAAGCTGGAAAAAGTCCAAAGGTATGCTACTAGACTAGTCCCAGAACTAAGAGGCATGAGTTATGAGGAAAGGCTGCGGGAAATGCACCTCACGACACTGGAAGACAGAAGAGTAAGGGGAGACATGATCACAACCTACAAAATCCTCAGGGGAATCGACCGGGTAAACAAGGACGAACTTTTCAACACTGGTGGGACGCGAACAAGGGGACACAGGTGGAAGCTGAGTACCCAAATGAGCCACAGAGACGTTAGAAAGAACTTTTTCAGTGTCAGAGTAGTTAGCAAATGGAATGCATTAGGAAGTGATGTGGTGGAGGCTGACTCCATTCACAGTTTCAAATGTAGATATGATAGAGCCCAATAGGCTCAGGAATCTGTACACCAGTTGATTGACGGTTGAGAGGCGGGACCAAAGAGCCAGAGCTCAACCCCCGCAAGCACAATTAGGTGAGTACAATTAGGTGAGTACAGTACCAAAACCATTTGACCCCTATTGGAGCGGAATAATCTTCTGGTATTCATTATGAGAGAATGAGAGGAGAGGCGGCACCTGACACCACCGTGACGCGTGACACCTCACGGCCTCTACTGACACTGACTAACTCCAGAGTGGCAGCACACCACCAGAGTGGCAGCACAACACCACAGTAGTGATGGTGATGGTACAGTGAACTAGAGTAGCAGCACACCATAGTAGTGATGGTACAGTGAACCAGAGTGGCAGCACAACACCACAGTAGTGATGGTGGTGGTACAGTGAACTAGAGTGGCAGCACAACACCACAGTAGTGATGGTACAGTGAACTAGAGTGGCAGCACAACACCACAGTAGTGATGGTGATGGTACAGTGAACTAGAGTGACAGCACAACACCACAGTAGTGACGGTACAGTGAAATAGAGTGGCAGCACAACACCACAGTAGTGATGGTGATGGTACAGTGAACTAGAGTGGCAGCACAACACCACAGTAGTGATGGTGATGGTACAGTGAACTAGAGTGGCAGCACAGCACCACAGTAGTGATGGTACAGTGAAATAGAGTGGCAGCACAACACCACAGTAGTGATGGTGGTGGTACAGTGAACTAGAGTGACAGCACAACACCACAGTAGTGACGGTACAGTGAAATAGAGTGGCAGCACAACACCACAGTAGTGATGGTGATGGTACAGTGAACTAGAGTGGCAGCACAACACCACAGTAGTGATGGTGATGGTACAGTGAACTAGAGTGGCAGCACAGCACCACAGTAGTGATGGTACAGTGAAATAGAGTGGCAGCACAACACCACAGTAGTGATTGTACAGTGAACTAGAGTGGCAGCACAACACCACAGTAGTGATGGTACAGTGAACTAGAGTGGCAGCACAGCACCACAGTAGTGATGGTACAGTGAACTAGAGTGGCAGCACAACACCACAGTAGTGATGGTGATGGTACAGTGAACTAGAGTGGCAGCACAACACCACAGTAGTGATGGTACAGTGAAATAGTGGCAGCACAACACCACGGTAGTGATGGTGATGGTACAGTGAACTAGAGTGGCAGCACAACACCACAGTAGTGATGGTACAGTGAACTTGAGTGGCAGCACATCACCACAGTAGTGATGGTGGTGGTACAGTGAACTAGAGTGGCAGCACAACACCACAGTAGTGATGGTACAGTGAACTAGAGTGGCAGCACAACACAACAGTAGTGATGGTACAGTGAACTAGAGTGGCAGCACAATACCACAGTAGTGATGGTGATGGTACAGTGAACTAGTGGCAGCACAACACCACATTAGTGATGGTGGTGGTATAGTGAACTAGAGTGGCAGCACAACACCACAGTAGTGATGGTACAGTGAACTAGAGTAGCAGCACAACACCACAGTAGTGATGGTGGTGGTACAGTGAACTAGAGTGGCAGCACAACACCACAGTAGTGATGGTGGTGGTACAGTGAACTAGAGTGGCAGCACAACACCACAGTAGTGATGGTGGTGGTACAGTGAACTAGAGTGACAGCACAACGCCACAATAGTGATGGTGGTGGTACAGTGAACTATAAAAGGCAGCACAACACCACAATAGTGATGGTGATGGTACAGTGAACTAGAGTGGCAGCACAACACCACAGTAGTGATGGTGGTGGTACAGTGAACTAGAGTGGCTGCACATCACCACAGTAGTGATGGTACAGTGAACTAGAGTGGCAGCACAATACCACAGTAGTGATGGTGATGGTACAGTGAACTAGAGTGGCAGCACAACACCACAGTAGTGATGGTGGTGGTACAGTGAACTAGAGTGGCAGCACAACACCACAGTAGTGATGGTGATGGTACAGTGAACTAGAGTAGCAGCACACCATAGTAGTGATGGTACAGTGAACCAGAGTGGCAGCACAACACCACAGTAGTGATGGTGGTGGTACAGTGAACTAGAGTGGCAGCACAACACCACAGTAGTGATGGTACAGTGAACTAGAGTGGCAGCATAACACCACAGTAGTGATGGTGATGGTACAGTGAACTAGAGTGGCAGCACAACACCACAGTAGTGATGGTACAGTGAACTAGAGTGGCAGCATAACACCACAGTAGTGATGGTGATGGTACAGTGAACTAGAGTGGCAGCACAACACCACAGTAGTGATGGTACAGTGAACTAGAGTGGCAGCATAACACCACAGTAGTGATGGTGATGGTACAGTGAACTAGAGTGGCAGCACAACACCACAGTAGTGATGGTACAGTGAACTAGAGTGGCAGCATAACACCACAGTAGTGATGGTGATGGTACAGTGAACTAGAGTGGCAGCACAACACCACAGTAGTGATGGTGGTGGTACAGTGAACTAGAGTGGCAGCACAACACCACAGTAGTGATGGTACAGTGAAATAGAGTGGCAGCACAACACCACAGTAGTGATGGTGATGGTACAGTGAACTAGAGTGGCAGCACAACACCACAGTAGTGATGGTGATGGTACAGTGAACTAGAGTGGCAGCACATCACCACAGTAGTGATGGTGATGGTACAGTGAACTAGAGTGGCAGCACAACACCACAGTAGTGATGGT